TACACCTTCCTTCCCACATAGTTCCTCAGAATTAATCTAGAATCATTCGCGGTTATTTCTCAGAGAGACTTGCAGAACGTTTTAGCATGACTCTCTTATAAGCTCGCTATTTTTATGTTTGTGAGATTGTACGTATATTTGTGGATTGAATATATTTGAAACATATATTTTTATTGAACTCGAACATTTATTTATACCTCGGTTCACGGACAACAATTTTCTAGGGTCAGTATACAGTATTGATATCTTCTCAACGAGGCAATAATACTGTACTTGAAACCTTTGAAGCTCTGAAATTTCCAAGTTTTTCTACATCAGTTCAATCTGTAAACGTTTATATTCGCTTCAACAGTTCTTTGAAAACAGACAACTGAATATATGTTCCTTTTTCATCTCATCAGTTTCGATTTATGATATTAATCAAAGTCTTGTGTACAATGTGTACCATATCAGCTTGCCAATGGAAGAATTACGTCAACTATACCTAATAATCTACAAACATGTCTTTGAATGAGCGACATATAACCACGAGCTCAACAAAATGAACACCCATCAGATCAATATCAAATACAATTCGAATTATGTTTTGACAAAAAATATTTTGTATAACCACTCGAATCCGAAAAATAATATTACGATCAAATCAATGCAAACTTGGTAACATTGATTCTGTACGACCTGCTGTGGAATATTTGGAACCATTTTTTTCTTTGAAAATCAAAAAAATTTCATTTCATTTCTTTCGAAAAAAATTATGAAATTCATGGAGACTCCGCCAGTAAATTCTTGCATTTTTCGAGAGCTCAAAAAAGAAAATCGTCTTTGTTTCTTCTTTGAAAAAAGTTGGGTAGTCAATCGTGACAAAATTCAACAAGTTTCCTTTTTCCTATTAATTTATGTAAGGTATATACAGTACATAAATTATTAAGTCATACTCATTTCCGTGTGGAAAAATAAAACAAACTGGACTTGCAGTCCTTGTCAAAAATTTTGCAACACTGCAGCGTCAAGATACTTTTTCGTTTTATTCCGTTCTAGTAAAACAATTGCACCAGAGATCGTCGTCCTCGTCGTCAGCACTTCTTCTTTTCTTCGTTTTCTTGCCACTGGTTCTAAAATTTGGTTTCTAAATCGAGTCGAGAATCACCGGGACGCGTTCGCCGAAGTAAATCGCGATCTGGAAGCACCCGAAGGAAGTAAAAAACAAAAAACAAAAACTAAACACTTATTAAGTGTGCGTTAAGAAAAGAAAAAAAGAAGAAAAACAGCAAAGAAAAACACGCACGAATGCTTCATAAAAATCATCAAAAACGACGAATGATGATGAGCAGCTGTTGTGAAATTTTAGAAAAGAATCGGAGCGATTGAACTTCTTTTCTTTCTTTCTTTCTTTCTTTCCAACAGAAACAGCACTTCCTTCCTTTGAACGCTGCTTGCACTGCGTCACTTATTGCCAAAAAAAGACTGTGGAAGCAGAAAAATAATGTCAATGAATCCTGCATTATTCGTCAAAATTTAGGATTGATTATCCGCCGGAAATGTTCTGAATCCTGTAAACTCGGGCGACATCTACCCGCAGCTTGCGTCAACGATTTCCGGGGACTTTCTGCTCTCTGCCGCTGCTGCAGAAAATGTATCCAACCCCAAGGAATTCAGAATACTCACTTTGCAGAACTTCACGTTCGGTGGCCATCTTGTTCAATGCTCCCCAGTAAATATAGAAAGTGGAAAGCAGCTGCTAGAAAGGCAGTTCCCAGCAGGTCTCCCAGCCCTGTGAGGTAAGGAATGGCTGAGCTGTCAGGGTCGATCTTCCGTCGCCACATCCAGTGCACCATGATGTACCCAACGTACAACAGAACACCAACCTGGGGTACATTATCAGATGAATTTATGAATTATATCATGCCAACAATATGGTTCCTCTACTCTATTCACACTCGTTCAATGTAAGGCCTGTCATTGAAGAAATTGACCTGCATATCTGAATAGGTCATTCATACATTCCAAACCAGAAAAAAAAAATGCAAGGATTAAATCATGAAGTTGAAGCAAAAAACCTTTATCTTCTAGATAAAAAAAAACGTCTTCTTTTTGTGCAGTGTCATTGCATTCAATTTCGTTGTTTCAAAAATGTGAACTACTTTTTCTGGTCCTTCTGCTAAAAATATAATTTCCAAAAATCAGCTCTTTATTCTAGACCTTTAGAAAATAAGTTCCTGCACATAAGTTTAGTGTATATATTGCTGAAATTTAAAATGCTTTAAGAGGATTTCAACACATTGTTTCTTTTAGGACCGCATATAGAAGGAACAAAAACTGTCAAAACAATCTGGAGCGTCAAACAAACTCGAGAACTATATAAAAATTGCATAAATCTATTTTCGCGAATGAAAATTTTTTTTCTGAACAGGTTGATTTTTCTCACACAGTTCATAATCCAAAGTACTGTATTTTGTGCTAAAACTCAGACCAATTATCTCGCCAAATGTGTATTAATCGGAGTATCTCTGTCAGATTGCTCTTGAAATCTTTTCGTGGTTTCTTCCTAGGCTTTTTTTCATAGAAGGAAACGTCTAAGATTTTCGTCGATTCCCGGCAGAAGTGAAATAAAGTTGAACGAATTTCTCCAAGGGTTACATTGTGAATCAAGGCTAAAATATTTCTACCAGAACAATGTTCCATTGTAATAACCAACGGTCCAGGAACCGTTTTTGATTTCGATATAATCACTAAAAATTCAGCCTTCGGCAAATAGACAAAGAAAGTTCTTGGTTTTATATACAAAGGGCCAACAAAAATTTTTAAAAAATTCCGCAACCCGGGAATAATTTGCTGATGCACTATTATTTTTTTCAAAAGCATTCGTTTTCCGTCTCAAATTCCATCGGGATTACGAACGAAGGATAGTGCATTAAAATTTTGAATACCTGAAGAACGGCAGCAATTAAATACGCCGTCATGAAAAGCGCAGTCAAAGGTGTATTGTCAGACTTCAGCCCGCTGATTGTCAACGCAAACACAACGTGTCCAATGATGACGAATGTCATCAGAACCCTGGTGCAAACGGAATGAATCCCTGTGAGAAAAAAAAATCGAAAAATCGACATAAAATCGAATAATCAACAAAAGGTACAGTACACAAAGAGAAAGCTTTGTAACAGTGTACTATAATCTCAAGAGTTCGAGATTATCGGCCACAATAGAGAACCAGAATTATATGTATAGTACCCCATAATTCTCTTTCAGGTGAAGCTTATCGCTTTCATGCCCTTTTATCAAAAGTCCTTGTTGGTGTGAATGTCGGAAAGAAAAGCCTTGATCCTAACCTTCGTCAACCTTCAAAATAGAACATCAACCTCTAAATTTATCTTTAAATCCTTGGTGTTAAAACAAGAGCGGTTAAATAACTAATTGTACTGCGATAATTTCGTCCACACTCGGCTCAAAGGTTAACAGAAAGTGAAATAAAATCAGCTCGGCTATATTCTACCGAAACACCGTCATTCCTATAATATACAATTGTGAAATGTGATCAGGGATTTTCATGTGTTTGGGCAACTCTTCTTTGGGAGTTTATACTGTTGAAAAAGACAGATACTTTGACTTCTACAAGCTTTAATTTGAGAAAAAAATAATGAAATGATATTTCAAAGAATGATTCATCCTGCTATCTGCAGCCCCATATATACAGGTGGTACCTTGCAATTGGACCTCTTGCAATTAAACCTTTCCTCAATATATGATGTTCAAAATTTGCTGGGAGATAAACTCTGAATTCAACCTCTGCTGTGCAATTCAACCTTTAGAGAGACATGGAACATCAAATGCCATGTAGAAAAAAATGCCATTTGACATTGTCTTTCAATTTGACTGCTTCACACTTTGACCCTATATAGTCCAGTACTGGTTTAGGGTTCGATTCCAAAGGTACCACCTGCATAGTCTCAGTAGCTCCACCCCCTTCTTTCTAATCCAGTATAAAATACACAAAGATAACATGGCAACTCAGACATTTGTTATCCTACAAAATACTTGACACTTTGTTTCAATTTTCTTTTATAATTATTCCTTCTCTTAAAATAGAAGATCACGGGAGCAAGACTCTCCCATGCATATATTTTCTCCCTGTTCTGGTTTGACAACTTTTGCGCTCTCAAACATTAATGTGCATGACCTATTTTGCCTGCAACTGTGCACTACTGTTCCTTTCTTGTTGACAGTTACAAATGGTAATTGTTGTTCTCCAAATTTGGTTTCTCCTTCTTTGATTATATTGCACTAGTTCCTGAGATATGCATTCTGGCCCCAAGACCTGGATACTCATCCCTGATTCCGTAATTGTGTCATGAACCCAATGTCCGAGAGCCTATATATATTTTGGCTCTCCCAATAATTCCTCAGAAGAATCTTACTAGAGAGAATCAAACCAGAGACTCTCGCAATTGTTCTCAAGGAGATTTGCAATAATTTTGCAAGAATTCTTTTATTTACTTATATTGTGTTGACTCTGTTTGTGTGTGATTGAATACTTGCTTGATTTGAGTACCAAAGAATATAGATATATATATATATCATATCCATATATTTTTATATCAAGTGTTTGATTTATTTATTGATGCAACCAAAAGCACATATTTACACAGCAAGTTAAGATAACACATTGCTGACCATGTATGCAGTGGCCATATGAACTCACTTACCTTTCCCCAGGAAGAGTGTGAGGGGTGACACACAGACCTGGGCATTTTCTGGAGGCAGTTCACCAGGCACAGCATTCTTATGCAAATGGGTGGACAACCGAGAGGATTGCACAGCCACCAAGTTCCCACCTACACCGTTTATCACTGGCTGAAACACAGCGATCCCTTGGTACACACCAATGGCCAGGTCCAATATTACTCCACCAGCACTATAATCAACCAAACCATGAAAAAGAAGCATTTTAAACAAAAAACACTGGCAATGATTACTGATGATGATGATGAGGGAAACATGCAGAGGGAAAAAGGCCAGTGAAAAGTCCATGTCCAGAGAGAAAAAAATCCTGTGATCAACCATCGACTTGAATTTTTTTTAAAGAGCCTGGGGGAAAGACTTGACATTATTTGGTTGCATACTAAATCGATCCTGACAAAGATAATACAATAATGTTCTTTAAATTTCTGCCCATGCTTCAAAATAGATTTCAAAATATATTTATTCAGGGTTACCAGTGCTTCCAAACAAATATAAATAAATGTTATTATTACAATAAAGCTACAGGGGCCAGTAACATAGCTTTCATGAAAAGAAAAATCTGTTATAACTTATAAAGGACCTCTTTTAAAATGTTGGCTATTAAGCATGGACCAAAAAACGACTTCATTGTATAATCGATGAATGGTTTTGACAAGACTCATTTTAATGACATTCTGCTTTATTCATTTTGGCATATTTTTCATCCTTCATTTAGATTCTTATTAATTCAATTTCTCGTACCAAAACATTTCCATTGCATTATTTATTTCAAACTGTATTCTGCATAAATTTTCCTCACTGGCATTATATCTTCAGGCATTTTCTCGTGACAAAAGAAAAAATTATTGTAAAGATCATCTTCATTTTGAAACAAACTTGGGATCGATTATTAAGCTGTACATTCGGCCCCCGGAAAAAGATAACCGTGTACAATGAATGAAAAAATTGGGAAGAATTTGTTTGAATGATTCAAGTTTGAATCTTTCAAGATTTCTAAGCTAGTTTTTCGAAAAGCAGCTGCTGGAATAATCTAAAAACGATTTTCACAGCTTTAGGTGCAATAAATGCGATGAGGCATTACAGCGAAGAAAGTGGGTCGATGAATTTACAATTTTCCAGATTGATCTTATCATGTTTGTCACCCGATTCGAGCACGGAAATTGAAACTTTTGTCCTCGGCGGGGTTAAAAATAATCGTAATTGCGAGGTCACGAAATCAGAGCATCTATATAGCACTTCGTTGGAATGAATATAACTCGAAAAGATTGATTGAGACAATAATACGAGAAGGATTGATTCACCTGCTGATGAACATGGCGATGATCACAGGGGCCCAGCCTGTCTTCAAAACCACCTTGGTGTGTTTGTTTTTCATGGCGAAGTAAACCCAGACCGGGATCGAGGACATGAATCCGCCAATAATAGCCAAAGAAAGCCATAACCTATGTTCTGGAAAGCAAAGTATAAAATCATCCCGACTTTGAACTTGGAAACAGGTCTTATTCAAATGCTAAATAGGCAAGGAACTTATTATTTCCATAGTTGATAATCTGTTCAAAAAAGCTCTGTGATGTACTAATAAAATTCATAGCATTATTCTCTCAGAAAGAGACAGAAAAAATCCTGTTTAGCTACCAATAAAGGTTCAGAAGTATCTTTATAAAGGCTGATTTAGTTGTTTTCTGTTCTGTTTTGGATCCTGCAAAAAATGATACTCACTGTAATGAAACAAGAGTTCAGCAGTGAAAGACAGCAGGGCCAGGGTTGTGATGTCACCCATGGAAGCTGCGATTGGTGTGGCAACATTGTCTGGATTAATGTGGTAACGTCTGCTCACCAGGATCACCATGATCATCACAAGCCCTTTTCATTATAAAATTTGAAAACGAACATAAATACTCTCTTTTCAAATATTGCTGCTGCATCATTTTATTGTTCCCTTGGCTTTCAGTCAGCATACATCATTTATTGAAAGTTGTCATCCTAGTCAGCTACTGTATGTCAATTTTCAAAACTGTTTTCGTGATAGAAAAACCTATGGCAAATATATATTGAGCTACTGAAATAGCGTTTATAATTCCATTAAAACTCCTTATGCCAGCAAGAAGAGTGTGGGAATGATAGAAAATTTCTGACCAGCTGATGATTTACATAATTTCATCTGAATACGTAGCCAACATTCAGTATAACGATTGACTCTTATGATCAAGGATAGACGAGCAACATAATATGATTCCAAAAATTCGTGTTCGCAATTCTCAACGCACCTCTCTTATAGGCTAAGTGGTATTTAAATAGTTTATCATAACACAAATTATCCCTCGCCTAAATATCTTTGTTTCTGGTAATTATCCTTGAATTAAGAAAAAAAATTGATAGCTATATGATGAGAGTATATTCTCATGCAAAAAAGTTTTTGGATGGAAGAAAGTGAGGCCCCAACATATGGACACCAGGAAATGCTGAAAATTGAACTTATATGGACATTTCAAACTCAAAGAAGCTGTCCTGCAATCTGGACAATGTCTCCGCAGGATTTCTGAAAGAATATCGTCGTCACAATTTCAATATATCCTAGACAAATTGAGCTACAGTATTTTTATAGACACAAAGACAAATAAATTTTAATTTTGGAATAACTCAAATTTAATTTTGCTAGTCTCAACTTTTCCTTTTTTATGGATTTGTCCAGAGCTACAGAGGATGGGACTACTTTTCATGTAATTAAGAAAAATCCTATGATTTTTTTTTCTTCACTGTTATTTCATGCTTCTTAAGATAATTTGATCGAAAACATTAGAGAAATTTTCACAATTTTTTTTCCAAGCGTGAGAATGTCATTGCAACAATTTCCTATCGAAGTCCAAGGAATAAAGTGGATATTTTGACAAATTGACTCAGTCTGCGAAGTAATTATGCCCATATTTCAGGGTCCCACTGATATACAGTAGAGTACAGTAAATTGAAGACGCTGTTTTAAAATATTTACCCAGGAGAGAGCTGGCAACACTGGCTGTGATCAGGGCGGAGGCACACATCAGGGCGGCATCAGGGAAATTGAAAGTGCCTTGTGGACCCCACCCGAGCCCAATGGCTGCCAATGATGCCAAGAAAGCAACAACCAGGCCTTGGCACTATACACACATATGACATACACAAAAAAATACAACCAAAAACTCACCCAATTTGCACAGAAAAAGACACATGATAAATTAATGTTTTTGTGTTGAAATTTTTCATTTTTATTAAAAAATATATTCTTTCAAAAATAAAAATAGAAAAATTGTTTTTAATACAAAATATATTCTTTTAAAAATACAAAAATTTCTACTTTTAATTAAATCTTAAAAAATAAAATTATCATGTAGTGAAATTAAAAAAAAATGCAGAGACACAATAATAAGACAATAAGACACCACATGTCACACACCTGGATGAGAGCAAGGTTGCACATGGCCATGCTCCATTTCTCTGCTTTGCCGTCCATGTTGCCCAGGTTGGCATGAGTGGATAGTCTGGAAGCTAGCGTCATCTCGAGGTTGCCCTTGAGTCCCAGAAGCGAAGGGACCATGATCACAATTTCTGGGATTTTTTGAAACACAGTCCAGTGCTGTGAGAAAGAAAGAAAAAAAAGAATCACGCGACGGAGATTAAAAAATGACAGCCTTTGGAATATGTCAAAATTCTTCTCTTCGTTATAAATGAGACTAATCTCGGAAATGAGGAACAACATTCATTACCCATACGACCAAAACTATGCAAAAACTGATTTTCAAAATCGCACTGTCGCTGGATATTATTGCAAACATGTTTTTAGAAAAAAAA